GTATAGATTCTTTTTTATGAAATTATAGTGATGTTGAGTTATATTTTTGCACTGTATATGACCATCTACCGCTTCTGACTGAACGGCACGCCCGCTAAAGCTCTTAAACTGCGGATTTCAACGTTGAAAAAAGAAATAAAATATCTGTCCTAATCCAATTTTAAAGGTTAGAAATTATATCTTTAAAATAAATTTTGATCGAATTCAAATGCTCTAGATTATATGTTAGATAAGTTCACCCTTCGTAAATTGTAATCATTGAAAATTGTCGGCACGAACAATATGTAATCAAACAGTCATAGTATTGTAAGCTACGTTCTTTGCTTGCTTGTCTATAACTTATCAAGTTATGATTTATGTACATTGAAATCTCTGTCTACGAAGTAATTTTATCATTTTATTCAGAAATTTGTAAGGCTGAAGATTTAAATCTTGCTAAATATGATTAATAAAGTAACATAGAGTATCGATAACGTAGCTTACGTTTTATCTCAGATAAAAGAGATATCGAAAACATCAATATAGACAAAGTATAGGGAAATAATTTAAAATCTTGCTGGTTATATAGTCTTTTGTCTATCAAAGATCATTCATATATTCAAAAATTTTAGTATTTTATGGTTAACTTGGGTAGTAAATGATGTTTTTCGTAATCTACGTTGTGTACCCTGTAATTTACGTTACAGAAATGATAATCTGTGTTTCTCTTCCGATGTTAGCTTTAAGAAATCTGTGTTTTTTTTTAATTGCATTGAATAAGATTTAATCAATCATTTCATTTATTCGGTTTCTAATAATGATGATATTCAAAGTTCTGTCTTAACTTAAAAGATGAACGAAAAAAGAGTTTTTGTAATGAACAATTGGTGTTATACATTGATTGGTTTGTGTTATCGTAAATACTTTAAATTGATTAAGTTTAGGACATTTTTCGAAGGAAAGTAGTTCAACTTACCACAAAACACACATTATCTTTATTTTTATTAATTCTTATGAGAAATTCTCAGGTTTATCATTAATGTAATTGTGGCAACGTAAGTTACCTGTAATTTTGATGGGTGTTACTTATCAATTCATATCTTTTACATTTATTTTACCCGAGTGTTAAAATTTTGTGAACAAGCAGGTGAAATACAAAGGTATAAAATAAAACCAAAATCATAAAGATAAACAAAAAATATTATTTTCACAAACTCTGTTTGAAAAAATCGACTTATTCTGAGAATGGGTGAACTTGGCTATTGTGACGTCATTTGAAAATCATCACGTTATGCAAAAACAGATGCATTTGACATATTGCCACAGTGTCTGTACACACATTGTAGTGATTAACATATTTTTCCTTAGTTTTTCACTCAAAAATAGCACAAGTACTTAAAGCTGACTATCAACATGTGGCTTTTGACTTAATTTTGACACTACGCATGCCTCAAAATTTAATTCGAAATAGCTTCGCTAAGCGTTCACAAGGAGTTAATGCGAAGAAATTTAATGTGCAGTAAATTAATTTGAAATAAACTAATTCGCATTGAATTCTCCGTGTGAACACTAAGCGAAGCTAATTCGCAGTAAACTTTCGTTTAATTCGATTTAAACTCTCTGTGTGAACAGAGCACAAATGTCTTGACAACCCGATGTAAAATAAAAAACGAAATTGTTCCCGTGACAACGAGTGTCGATTCCTTAAGTGATTTGTTTATTATTCATTTAAATTAACCTTTATATATATCACATGTCCTGAATTTATTCCTTTGTCATTTATTACTATTCTCGCATCATATATTTTTCCGCACCATGTGCCCGTCTTCATTTTAATGAAAACAAAGAGAGACAACTCAAGCCATCATGATTAAGTTGACAGCTAGAATTACAGGGGGCACGGATTACGATGCATTAAATGTCCGCTTCGCGGATTATAAAGCTTACACCCAATTTCAATATAAGGGCACAAATGCCACTCTGATTTTTAAAAAAAATGAAGTTCAAGATTCACACAAAAATCACAATTGGAATATCTCATCTTAACACCAGCAGATCCTACCACCTCTGTCAGCAACAGCTCTCGGCATACGAACGTGCGTTTTATTTTTCCTTTCAAAAACAAAGGTAATTTTTTGATCCAGATGTATAAAAACATTTTTTTATAATATATGCTTTAAATTCTTCTCTCTGTTTTGTTTAGAGCGATCAGTTTGGAATCTTGTCATTTTCTATAGATACTGGAACTTAACATGTACATGTAGTAAAATTCTATTTTATAGTTACTGTCTTTTTTAACATATATCCATGCCGATTTAAAAACTGCGTAAATATAACGTACATTTCATGATTTATTCCTGTATGATAAAAAGGTTAAAATTCATCAAAAAATCCATCGTTTTGTTTCAGTTTATTCCAAAAAATTCATCGTTTTGTTTCAGTTTATTCCAAAAAAGATTCACTAAGTATGTAATCACATTGTGTTATATGTCACAATCACCACTATAAAGACACGATTGCCTCAGAATATGAGTAGGTAACGTACATTTCAACCTTGTAATAATATGTAAGTAAATATTGAAAAAAAAGCAATTATTGACATGAAATACGCAAATTGTACGTTACCATACGTAACGTACATTTCAAATATAAAAATCAATTCTCTTCCACAAGCATACGTTAGACACGCAATATATTGATACTATTTGAACTTGCATATCATAAGAAATGCATCATACAGGTTTCGTATTCAGAAATATATATCAGGTATCAAAATTATATTACATATAAATGACCTTAATATAAATTTTTTCCTCAGCAGAAACGTTTCTTTTCATTAATTTTGGGATTAAACCGACCTCCAACCTTTGAAACTTTCCTTTGTGTACACATTCGAGTGTGTGAAAGTATGAGAATACATGAAAATTCGTGCGAGATTCATTTAATTCGAATTTCATGGTAACGTACATTTCAGTCACGTTCATTTCAAATGACCACTTTTCATGTAAAAAATAATTTTTAATTGTGTTAAGCAAAACGTCTTTGCCAGTTTATAGGGTACAAGGGGTTGTTTACTCGGAGTTATCTCATATTTTCTACTTTATATATATTCTTAATGGTAGAATATAATTTAACGTACATTTCTTTCTTATCTCTACGATTGAAAATGTCTTTCATTCCGTAAACATATGTATAAAAGTTGCTCAAATTGTTCAATTTCATGTTACATTATCTAAGTATATATGAGTAAATAATCCTTTGAAATTTCAAATTTAGCCCATCAATAAATAAAGGAGAAAAAAACTATCAGGTGTATAATCTTTGTGTTTGCTTGTAATGTGGTTGAAATAGAATTAAGCGACAGGGACACTGCACAACAAAAATGATTTATTATCACAAGGAAAATGCATTTATTGTTATGAAAAGAAATATATATGATACAAGGCTTAACTTATCAGAAAATTTTTACTTTAGAATCAAAACTGCATATTACACAGAGGGGATTCAGCATGATATTTGCCTCGGCGACAGTAACGTACATTTCAAATAGCTACTATATTTGAATTTGGAACTCCTTAAATATATATATACCTTTCAGATCAATAAATATATGAATTCTTCTTCAATGTTATATGACTATTTCTGATGTTGATTTGAAAATTACATCAGTGGTATTTCTTCTAAATGAAAATGAGGCGACATTATTTGAGCCCTTATATTGAGAATGGATGTTAAACTGACCCAAACCAGATTATACTCGATAACTTGGCCAAGAATTTGAGTCTTTCCTTTATTAACTTCTTTGATCCTAATCAATAATCAATTAAAAAGTTCCCAAAAATTTCAACGAGTACCAGTACTAATTCTATATCCTCCAGGTACTTAGCCAAATGGCAATGATAGCATTGAAATACTCTCATAATACGATGTTCAAAATTTAGACGAGGTGTTTTTTACTTCTGTGAAATATTATGCGTTTAAATTTTACGGATTTATAAAAATCATAAAAATTAGTAAAAATTAGCAGCACGTAAAAAATACCCGTTATTTGGTAAATCTCAAGTTGTAAGCATTTAATCTGGCAAAAACTAATATTTACATCACATTAAATTTATAAAACATAAGAAGAAAATTTAAAAAAGATAAATGAAGATCGAACTTTTCCATGTTGGGACACATTTTAAAATCTCTACAAAAGTTAAAAAAAAATATGAAATAACAATACTTATCTAAATAAATGCGAATAAAACTACGGTCTCATTGTAAGTTTTTTAAACAAGCGCACTGGCCTTTACCAGCACTATCAAGACTAATTACATGTAAAAAGTAAAAAAAAAATGAACACAGTTTACATCGATTAATCTGACAACATTGACTTAAAGATGCACGGCTACAGAGTTAATATTTTCTCAAATTTAATGTATAATATTACGACTTCGAGATGAAAAAAATATTCATTATATTTCCGTATGAAATGCTACTGCAATATATAAGTTGTAATAATATACAAAAATTTCAAAAAATTTTAACTTGAAATCTGTGTCTATGCACCTTCAACAAGTAAATTCAATATAAATTTTTAAAAAAATACAGTCCATAAGACAAAAGTTTTTTGTTTGTTATTTAAAAAAGGAAAACACGGTTGTTTTACAAATGCCTCGCAGCATACATCAACAATATGAAAAAATAAGGTAAAACAAACTTTAAAAAAAAATATTAATGAGTAAAATTCTTATATATGTGTAACTAAACTATTCCAGAAAAATTGAAAACCGGGGTACAAGACTCGCTAGAGAAATGGGAACAAAAAGGTGAATTATTAAAAAGGTAGGAACACATAGAACACAATTTCAAAAATATGTCTGCATTACATTTTTATCTCTTAACGAAATATCATCAAGATTTTAATCCTTTTTTCTAGATAAACCTCCAAACTTATTAATTAAATAGCATTTTTTCCTTCCGTTTAGTCTTTTTTTTAACCTTTTTTCGTTTGGAACATCCTTGCTGAATTAAAAAAATGAAATTATTGAATGAAAAGACATAATCACAGACACATTTTAATTGTAACAGAAATAAATTGTCGTTTTTAAGGATCAAACTGAAAATAATCAACTATAACAATCCCAATTCGTTGTCATTTTTTATGTCCTGATTCCTGTCATGTCTCCTGTTTGGACCTTTTACTGTCAAATACAAAATATTTTTCGATAGAAAATACAATATACATGAATAATTATGATTCAAATCAAGGAAATAAGTTCTATTTTGTCTTTCAAAGCTTTACTAATCAGCTAACGGTGAAAGTGATTGATAAGGCGCCTATGGATAACACATGTCTATGGCACGTCAAATTCACAAAAATGAGCTTATCATAGTTTCACAGTCAATAAACTAGGTTTATTGGTTGTAAATTATAGTTTACGGACTGTAAACTATAATTAACAACCTTAATCTCTATTTCACATCTGTAAACCATAGTTAACGCGATAATCTATGTTTCAGAATCGTAAACTTTACTTAACACTGTAAACAATCATTTGCGATTGCATAACATAAACTGTCTGATAAATAGAGTTTCACGATTTGTAAACTTTGGTTTACAACTCTTAACTATAGTTAACGATCTGATAAATAGAGTTTCACGATTTGTAAACTTTGGTTTACAACTCTCAACTATAGTTAACGATCTGATAAATATAGTTTCACGATTTGTGAAACTATGATTAACAATTCTTACATGTAACTATAGTTCACGATTGTAAATTATAGTTTACAGACGTGAATCTATGTTTATCACCAAAATCTATTGTAAACGTTTTATTACAGATAGATAAGCTGTTAAATATAGTTAACAACTGTTAAATACAGTTTTACAGATTTAAACTATAGTTAACGAATGTTAACTATAGTTAACAGTTTGTAAACTGTAGTTTACAGTCGATAAACTTGGTTAATCAACTGTGATACTAAATTTAGCTCATTTTTGTGAATTTGGCTTGCCATACATGTCAAATTAAAATTTTACTCGAGGTTGGATAGATACAGTGTATAATAATTTTTTACGTTGCATTTTTTTTAACAAATTATACATTTTAAATGATCGATGTATATATTATATTTTTTTGTCTTCACAAGCATCAATATTTAAACATGTGTTTCACTTACTTGCACACGCTGGAAAAATGCATTTTTGTTTTCTTACACAATAAAGTGTCATCCCAGATACAAGTACTGCTATCAGGGTAACAACGATTACAAATACGGTTATAGTATTTATGTTGTTTGAAGTTTTACGTATCCTGAAAATAAAGTAAGAATTGTCCTTATAAGCCTGTAAACAGAAGTTTTGCCTAAAACTTTACGAGAAATTATTTTCTTTTATTCTTAAACACATTTTTTTCCAAAAATTTTTTGATTGATTTTTACTTATAAACTGTATTTGACGTTGAAGCTTCCTGCAGATCTTGTGATGAAATTACTGTGCGAAGGGTAGTAACTCTTCCATTCATGATGTTTGAGAAACAGCCAAAATCTAAAAAAAAAAATAAACGTAACTTGGAAAAAGTGCCAGCCTTGTTATATTAAACTCCATGCATTTTATATGCATTTTAATGAGTACCACTGTATGAATTACATGATTAAAACATGAAAGACTCATGAAATACAATTAATTAAGGTGGATAAACGTTTGAAACTATGTTAAGCCTAGTCCTTATATATCTGCATTACAAATCAATTAAAAAAAGGAAAGGACTAAATACACATCAAGTCAACAATACAAAAAAGTATTATGTAATTATTAGCTACTATTGTTAAAGATTTTTTTTTACATAATTACATTTATAGGATGTTGTCGAGTTGTAGGATATAGGACATGGAGGGCTAGATAACTTGCAATCTGTCAAAAAGTTGCCACGAATGCTTGCTTTATCCGTGTTGAATTCAGCACACCTTCCACCTTTAACATTAAGAAAAAAAGGTATATTTTCATTTACATTTTTCTTTTCTTGATTAAATCAAAATACATGTTTAATGGAATATAAAGTTAAACAACAATAATCTTGCTGAAATATCCTTAAAACAAAGTATTATATTGGTTTGTAATAAAGGTGTATTGTAAAAGTCATTAGATACACTCTAACTAATTACAAATTACATTTTTATACATCATATTTTTTATCATTGTTTTTTATTATTCTCTGGAGACACAATACGAGTATTATTCATACCTATAACTCTGTGTATCTTTGTGTTTCTAAACATTAATAACAAACCATTAATTAGATATCTGTGATCAGATTCACAGCTTTAATGGTAGTGTTTTTACTCTACACAAAACATAAATCTCTATTATTAGATTGCCTTTCAAAATTAGATTAGTACTTGACATTTAGTCACAACAAAGAAATCTTAAATTATTTCATAAATTGATGTAAGCTGAATATCGTTTACCATTTTTACAAAAAATACATTAATTTTTTTTTTTATTTTTAATATTGGATGAGCAGTAGCATATGTAAAGGCCACAGGGTATTCTTTTTTTATTGCATCTCGGTGGTTGAAAAGGGAACTGAGATCTTATAATGAATAACTTTCATAAAGGATATATTTCATAATTAAAGAGGAGGGCTGTAAAACAAAAAGAAATGTAAATGTATTTATATTAAAATGCTGTATGTTTTCAAATATACTTGATTATTTCAAATTTGAGGTATAAAAGCAAAATCTAATAAATAATAAACTTATTGATTACTTTTTGAGAACCTTTGTGAATGGAGGACTGGTTTTTATTGGAGGTTTTTTTTTGGGGATAATGAACACACAATAAAATAAAAACGTTATGTAGACATTATGTCATAATCTGTCTTTGCTTAGTACGAGTAATCGATAATAAGAATTATCTTACCGATAATAAGTAAAGATGGGGCGCATACTTCTATTGTTTCATTCATCCAATTGTTAATTACGCAGTGATACTCAAAAGACTTGCAGGAATGTTTCATGTCGTTGCATCTCTTTCTTTCAACTGCTTTTCTGAGTTCTGATGTATTCTTTGGACAGGACCATACTCTTGTAACTGTGGCAAGAGAGTCTTTGCAGGGAATCACAAAACCATATGCAAATCTATTGACATCATGCAAAACCTGTGGATAAACAAATTCTCTATCATACCTTTATTCTGATATTAATTTTATCACAAAAATAAATTATTTCTTTAAATCAAATATAGATATAAAATTATGAATTATAAGGATTTTATATTTATTTTTTTTATTTTTTTATTTATTTATTTTTTTTTTTTTGTTTTGCAAATAGGATTTCTACTTACAACCTATTCTTTTCTTTCACATTTAGAACTTGGGGTTTTATAAATAAGATAATGTTAATAATATAAAGACTCACTTAAAAACTACGTTTGAAAGCAATGAATGTTTTAGAAATAGAAAATTAACCTACCTGAAATGTATATTTATAAATTCTCATTTGCAAGCCTAAGTTTATTATTTATACTTTTTATCGAGTTATTAGCTAATTCTTTTCATTACCATTACTTGCACCATGTACGTGACAAAATCTGCCTTCATGTCAACGAACCTACAATAATACCATTGATTACATGTTTTGAAAGTCAGTTTTTATCAAGTAGTTTTTAAAAAGTAGTATATCTAAATTAATTACCAATAAGTACTGGTCAATAATTGAGTACTGCATTTCTCAAAATTTACTTTTGTTTGCACATAATACTATTTAATTGAATAGTAAGCAAAGAAGCAATATTACAACTTTACCTGTCATGAGGCTGGATTCCCGGATAGTCTTTTTACATTGATTGTTAATCTTGTTTACACATATTAGAGGAGGGATAAGAGTTCAGGTGTACTTAGGGTCATTTTATGAACCCTTCCTTGAAGTGTAAGGAGTACCCAACTACTCCATGTCCGAAAATTATTTGTTTTATTACATGTATTTACTTGAATTATAAGTAGTAAAACATGAGTATATGTTTTTGTTTTTATGATAAGATGAAACTAATCTGTCATTTATTTAACTGAAATATGACTGAAAATATGTTGTTAAAAGTTGATTGAATGATAGATCTCCGTCATTCAGTCATCTTTCTAGACATTTTAGCGATCATTTAGAACACTTGGGATGTAGTTTCTTTCGTGTATATCTACATTTTATAAAGCATGTAAAGTTGTATTACTCTTTTCAAATACAGTTCGTTATAGTTTAATTGTTTATGGCATATGTTATTTAGGAAGAATTTTCAAGCAATAAGAGTTCGATGAAAAAAATGAATGCTAATTTTAATCTTTGATCTTTTAGTTTTACACAAAAATAAATACCGTGAAATTATGATAATAAAAAACGATTGTCAACAACAGTACATGAGCCTTTTTTGTAATAGACATATGATCATGTACATGGTTTATATGTGTTCAGGAATGTTTTTAAATCTGTTTACTTGATATTGGTTGAAAATAATATGATCACACATGTATATCTAGTCGACAAATCATTTTAGATTACATTTACCTCATGTTTACAGCAAAACAATCCGTCTATACGATATCTGTCTGCTCTGGGGTTTTTTAAAATTATAATTATATGCAGGCATGAAGGGTCATAGGGTAATTTAAACATTTTCTGATAATATGTGTCTTAGACTTATTAAACCACATCTTTCATGAGTTAAAAAATCCATGAGCGTAAGGAATTAATTTTTATAGAACATAAATGATTTAACACGTTTTACGTCGAAAACAAATAGAAAAATTGGACATACCACTGTTTATGAATAAAAAAAAACACCCGCCTCTTTGTCAAACTATTTCACAAACCAGACAATTCTCAATGTTCTTGAACACCGGGCCAATTAGATAGAGACTCAGAGACTACCACATCATTCAATTGTTTACATTAGCATTTACTACAACAGAAAAACAGATTAGAAACCTTTAGAACCCATAAGCCAAAAAGGTATCAACCTTCCATAAGTGCAATATATGTGCGAATAATGACACTCCATTTATTTCGTTGCACAAGGAAAACTGTTTTCTATTTCATTTCTTTAAAAGGTGTACCACAGATACCAGTTTCTAGAAAATATATTTTTATATACTTTTAATTGAATTGGATGTTCAATAAAGGTGATGGGGACAGAAAAAGGGAAGATGACAAGATCAAATAAATTGACCCTGATATGTCTTGTCTACCCATGTGTATCAATGACACAAATTCGAGGGTAAAGAAATGCACCTCGATCTAATTCACATAAACTCGGTCTTTGTAAACTACATGATAGAAATTTAACTTTATAATAACCAAACTTTTGAAACTTAATATAGAATTGCTCTGAAATATTTCTTGTGTTTACATTTACCACCGACTTGTTACATGACCCCGTTATTTACATTTACAAAGGAATATTTTTTTTATTGTTTTTTTTTTTCTGTGAGCACTGTACTTTTTAATTTTAATCCATTTATTGAAATATCAAATTCTTTGAAAGGTTCCTTGTAAACATTGTTCTTACCTTTAGTTCTTACCTTCCTACGTATGTTCAGTTTGATAACAAACGGATATTCTATCAAACCTTAAAGCGAAAGTACAAAGCGAAAGTACAAAATAATTCTACTAACTATTATGCAAACTATTTGAGCTTAAATACTCTCCATTATATCCGTTATATATATTTCATGAAAATCAAGAAGCTATCACATATTGAACATCTTTTTTTTAGATAGTCAACAATGCAAATATGCCTCATTTAAAAAAAAGGAACATGGATGCTGTCATCGATAAACTACAGAACTATTTTTGTTAAAGTGACCTATTTAAATGTTGACAGTACTACTCGTGTACATGTATCGTTTTCGTAAACAGTTTAAAAATAGCTTTTATGAATTTATATATTTACATATAAAATATAACAATAATCATACGAAATGCAAAGCAAATTGGTTTGCTATTAAAGAAAAAAACTAAATTTCAAATGCAAATATACCAAAGAGGGGAAAAAGGTTTTAAAAACTTTATAGAAAAAAAAAATTACGTACAAATGTAGATGTATATATGAAGTATAAAATAAATTCAATTTAGTGCATATATATTTTATAGTGAAAACTGTCTATGATGATAAAAAAGGTTTTCAAGTGAAGACAGCTTTGTACTTAAACTTAAAGGCTTAGAGTTGTTATGATTATATCTAAAAAGTAACTAGTATATAAACTTATTAACATCAAATACAGACAAGTAGTATCGAATTCTGGAAAGGGCTAAAAATATGGCAGCTTTATTTAAAAAAAATTGCTTGAATAAACGAAAAAAAGAAACATTGCCAAAATTCTGAAATATTTTTTTTCACATAGGCGTCTAATTAAGCATAAAAAATGTTCTTGATTAGTGAAAACAGTGTATTTCTGATCACCGGGTTCATTGATCACGAGCTTCAAAAAAAATTGATATTTTGATTTTTTTTTTTTTTTTTTTTTTTTGGTAATCTTTTAAGTGTTTACTCATAAAGAGCTATTTTCAATGACTTTTGTTTACAATTATAATGACACAACGTGTGCATCAGATGTACATGTAATTCATGAGATGCACTCCCAGAGAAGTCGACACAAATAACTCATCTGGCTTCCACAGTATTTTATATCCTTTTGTAGTTTGCTCCTTCAAAATCGTATACTTTTTAACCTCTGGTTTGTATATCTTACAATTTTAAAGTAAATTGGTAACAATAAAAACAGTTCAGCTTGTGCTTTCACTTTTCCTATATACATGTATGCCGACACGTCTTCGAAAGCTAAACTCATGTACATTGTCGACCTTTTCTTTAACCAGACATCTATCTTTATTTAAAAGTCGCCCAGGTTAAAACTCTGAAGGATTACCCCAGTTATACCATACATAACCGAAAAAATGTTAGAGAAAACAATTGTACCTTTTGCTATATTTTATAGCTTTTGATAGTTAGACAGAGAAAAATTCTTTATTTCCTCTGCAGCATAGATCAATACATCAAACTAGTAAGTATGTAACCACATTTGAACTTTAGAACAAAAATGTGGACTATGTACATCATTAATCAATTCTTAAAGTTTTATACTCCATGTAAGTGAGTGTTCATTTCTGACATAATACGCGCAAACCAGTTGCAACAGCAAGCAAAAACATTTCCCACTCCTCCTCAGATACGATAGAACCATGTCTTGATCAATAAATGGTTTCAGCGATTACTTTGTCAGTATTATTTGTGAGATAAACGTAAGTTTGGACATTTATCGGGTTTACTATTTCACCCATCAAGCTGTCTCTTCTAGCAAATAGCGTTGGGCATTCAAGGAGAAAATGCACTACAATATCACTTGTGGTACGCGTTCACCTCCTCTTCAACAATGTAGACCGAGAGTCTAATTACTGAAGCTAGTTCTATCTGTGTTTTAGAAATTTCAAACCGAGTACTGTAGATCAATTAATTTTCGCGACACCTTATTTTCGCGAGATTGTCATTGACTCTTTGTAAGCGAGACATAATTTTCACGAATTGTTGTTATTCCTCTATATAATCGTAAGAAATTCTTTTATACGCGAGAATTTAATTTTAGCGAACACATTGTCTCGCGTTATTATGCGAAAATAAAGTTCCCGCGAATGCAAAGTGATTTACAATAGATAAAAGGGATGAGTTGATAATTTCTCATGTATTTCTGCGTATCTGCGAGCCTCTTTTCTTTGATTCAAATTCTCCTTCCATTCAGCTGCAGTGCCAACTACAGTTCCTTCAAATTGCTTCCAGGTGTATTTTGGAGGAACGTCGCGACCCAAAAGGTACTCTCTGAAAAAGAAATCAATGCTGCATTCCCTCATTATAGGGTGAATATCTGCTAGGAATCCACGCTTTGGTCTTGGTGTCGCCGAACCAAAAGAGCACAACCTTGCAATGAAAATCTTTTTGAAGAATAAGGAAGAGATTGATGTACAAAGTCTGTTCCAGAACATCAACTTGTTTTTATTTTTACTTCTTTTCATTTCAACCAGGACAAGGGAAAAGATTGTACATTGTTTGGTGCAAGATTGTTGGTGATCTTTGGTCCAATCCTTGCATTTGACGGGCTGCATATCTCTGTACAATTCTTCGATCGACTTTTTTGGAGATCACATCCCATAATTCGCATCCATACAGGATCGATGGCATGACAACTGTTTTCCATAATTTAACGCTGGTAAAAGGATGTATACCGTGATCATAACCTGCTATGTTGATAAGCGAGTTTAATATGCGCTTTCCCTTCCTGCATGCCTGTTTGAATGTTGTATCACTTTTTAGCCTATCAGTTAGGATGACACCAGCAAAAAACATTTTCTGAATGTAGGTGGATGTTTTCCTGACCAAGAATAAATGGTCTAGCAGCAAGTTGTTTTTGTCGCTTTCTACTTGACCTGAAGAAGAGAACACAACTTTTGTCAGGATTACATCGCAAGTGCCAACGTTAAGCGTAATTGTAGACAATATCCTGTTGCTTCTGAAGACAACAAGGGGTGTTGGATATAAGAGAAGTGTCAAATACAAATGCTCCAATGACAC